GGGAAATGACTTGGGAGCAGATTGCTAACACGGACTGAGATGCTGCCCTTCAGGAGGGCCTGTGACTGAAGGAAATGGTTGTGGATTGTGGGAGGGAAGCCAGTGTACTGAATTCCTACTGAAAGATTTCTTCCTGTGTAAGGAATGTGAAAGGCTAGATGAGGTATGAGTGTGGTTTGTAGATAAAATTATATGCAGTAATGTAGTATTAAATGGTATTAGACTAAATAAAGCAATTAGAGAGGTGTAAAATGTAACTAGAGTAATACCTGTTCTGAAAACTTTTTTTACCTCTTAGCAGAAGATGGATGTAACTAGCTTAAGCAATTCCTTCTTAGGATTGTGTTTTAAGCATCTTTTACCATGCTTTCTTGATTCCATCAAGAATTAAATACACTTATTACCACTGATGGGGAAAGTGGAGGAAAAAGGATTGGCAATTTATGATTTCATTTGTTCCCATCTTCAAGAGGTATCAGGATTAATTATGCTCTACATTGAAGAAGGGGTGTACAGATAGAAAACCTTATCCTAAAGGCATGCTGTGGATCTTCAGCATGGAAGTAATGATCAGATTGAGGAGGAATTCCATTAATGTTATGGCGGGACTAAGCAATTAATCTGCTTGGAGAAGAAAGACCAAAAACAGAAACAAACTCCTAATATGATAGGTTATTGTACTATTCCATCCTGTTTTGTAGTAATGTCATGTTATCACACAAATGGATTGGTGGATATGGATACAAGAGCAGCAAATTTTAACCTCTTAATTCTTTGCAATAAATTACTTTGTATTTTGCTTGTATAGGTGTTTTATTGCACTAGTCATGTTTCACTTATTGATACGTATGGAGAATCTTACTGAGAAGAATGTGGGCAGTAGCAATCCACTTTTCAAATTTTTAAGTTGTTGCACAGAGTACAAAAGCAGACTCTTAAGTTCAGATGGTTTTTAGTGCATATCTTGAAGAAAAGCATTGTGGCTATGGTGAACCTGAGAAGATTAATAAATGCACCCTTGAGAGAGAGTTCACTGAAATGCATAAGATAGAAGGACAGGGTAATATCAAATACTTTATTTACATGAAGCTTCTGGGTTATCTTGGGCCACTGCTAAACGTGAATTGTGTTTGCTTCGCCTATGGCAGGTGTTCATTTAAACACAACCCTTTCTGTTGCTATGTTATTTATAATGGGAACTCTTAACTTCTGTTGGCTGCTGTATTGCTCTTATAATCAACATATGAAATTCCACTGGAGAACCTAAAGTGATTCCAATTTCTCCATATTAATTCAGCACACTTTTTTTACTTAAAGTATCACAAGAAGCGTCCTCATTTATCTAAACTGTCTCTAAAGCCACCTTGGCAACTTCATCAAAGTCAATAAAAAGTAAAGAACTCTTGGTGTTTCTTAAATTAGATCTTAGTTCCATTAGCTAAGTGAAATCTGCTGAATTGCAGTAGGTAGCTTATCTGTATCTCTACATTGCACATTGCAACCATAAACCAATTTTTTTCAGTAGAGTCATTAGATAATTATTTAGTCTAATTAAAGAGAGCTTAGTGTGACAGAAGGAAATGGAACTTTCAATCTGTTCTGATATCCCTAAGGCACTGGGAATAAAATAAACCAATATCCTGGGCACATTGGCAGATAGATCTGGAAGAATTTGGGTTTAGTGGTGAAGTTCTCTAGTAAAACAAAGCGATTGATCTTACCTTGATAGCATAAGACTAAAGCTTGTTCTGTTTTTGTAAAGTATTTAAATGACTTTTAAATGACTTAATCCTTTTTCGGTAGAATTCTGTAGAATTATTCCTTTTAAGAGCTTTTTTTTTTTCCCCAAATGTTAGAGACTCCCTTTTTCCAAGTTATGTTTTAATAAGATTAAGTTTAATACAGCTTGCTTTGAAAACTATATAAACAAGTTAGCGACAAATTCTCCAAATTCCGTTTTCGTCCCTGGGAAGTTACCATAAAATACTTGATTGCATGATAACTCACTACATGCATTTATTGATTGTTTTCATTCTGCAAGGATGCATATTTTTCTGGGAAAACAGAATCCGCTGAAAATTGAGTAGGGGAGGAAAGAGTTCTGATGCCACAGTGACTAAGTTTACATGATTACATGAGGGTGCATGGGAAGTAGTGAACTGCACTTAAAACTAGGTTTGGCAAGTTTGTAATACTCTGTTAAGTGCTGTGTATGCCCTTATTTCTGCTGTGTTGTCCTTGTTCACGCCAAAACACACAAAGCAGTTGATTTTGTGGGCAGTACTACAAGGTAAGAGGTTTGGCTTTTGACCTGGTGCATTGACGTGACTGGACACAGTGAAAACTTTTTCCTCCTGTTTCTTCTATTTCCTTTGGCTTCCTGGGCTTATACCTTAGAAACCATATGAGACTGTGGCAGTTCAAGAGCTGTGCAGGCTCTAAATGGGCAGCCAGTGTAGCCAGGTGGGTCAGCAGGGTATTACCAGTGAGCTGCTAGGTGAACTGATTTCTCAGCTCACTTAGTGTACTTTGCAGGTGTCATAGTCTGTTATGAGAAATTAATATTATAGGAGATTAGTATTTATCACAAACTGGCAGGAAACTAGCTAAATTTACTTGGAAGAAGATAACGTTTTTGAAACATGGACAAAGAAAGGCCTTAGCCAGCCTGATCATAAGGCTCATGTCTCCAGAAAACTGTATTAATTATGTGAATCAAGGTTCAACTAATTTTTTTGGTATCTATAAGTGGAGTCAGTCTCTTATTTGGTCCATTTGACCTTTACAGGCATAAGAAGATGTTTGTGTGTGGATGTGGTGTGGGTTTTTTTTTTTTTCCCCCTAGCTGTGTGAGAAATGCTCTTCAGCTTTTCCTAAATCTGTTAACATCCGCTATTGTATATGCCTTGTTTTCTATCTGGAGATGTTTTTATAGGTTTCTGTTTCATAATAGTTTTGTTTCCCTGGAGAGTTGTAGTTCCTGTTTATTTTAAGAAGATATGACCGGTGGTCTCACAGGCATGAGTGCAAGTTCCAATAAAGGAAGCTGTTTAGAAGCAGCTGGTAGGAATCTTGCCAGCTTCTAGAAGCATGTTTTGAGAAAAATTCCTCAAAGTGGTAGAAATTATAAAGCTAGGCAGGCTATTTTCCCTTGTCTAAGAACAAATTATAGCAGGCATCTATTTTAAACCTTAAAACTGTATTTTTAGGAAAGTACCATATCTTTCTCTCCAGTCCTATTTTTCTTGAATTTTTTGAAGCTCTCACAGAGGGACTTTTTTTTTTTTCTGTCTTCCAAGTTTTAGTCAAGCACCACGTTGATTTAATCGTAGACAAACTGAAATGAGTGTTATAGCCTGATCTGCCCAATTGGTCTCTGTGGAATTTTGCAAATGTGTGTAATTCTTTCTCATGAACTTCTGAAATGAGAACTTTTTCAACAAAGTGATGAATGCCTTTGGTTTCATTTTTCTTCCCAGCATTTAACCTTGCCTTAATCCTTTTCTGGACAGATACTTGTTCTTCTCTCACTGTTCTTCTGAAATTAGTTCAACCACACTTAAGGACTGCTACACAATTATGTGCAACAAAGTTGTTCTTTACTCTCTTCAAGCCTCTTATTTCTAATATGTGACTGTTGTTAGAAATTTGCAGTTTTTCCACTGAATTCAGATGAGGAACAACAATATACTTTGGCTGTTGGCAGCATGTTAAGAGTAGTAGTCGTCAGTGAAAGATTCTGCGGTCTGTCCCTGCCTGCCAGAGAAGGGCTCATTGCCTGGTTTTCAAGATCAAGCTTTTGTGATGCACAAAATACACCAAACCCATGAGGCAGAAACTTGGGGCTAATTGTCTTAATCTTTTAAATTAAGAATTCTCATTTGCTATGAGTGATCAGAACTCTATGTGCAGTATCCGAAAGTAGCAGAAGCTGCCAAGCTTCACTGTAACTGAAATGACTTTGAAAGTGTCACCAGGTCACAAACTGGGTTCTGCTACTGCTAGATAGGTCAAGATAATTGCCTTTCCAATGATAACCAGCTGTAAAGTTCATAAAATAGCTACATTTGAGAGGGAGAGGGAGAGAGAGAGAGAGAGAGAGAGAGAAAATCATTGTTCCCAAGTGAAATTTGAGATGTGCTGGGTTTTAAGACTTCCAGGTGAAGTTTATTAACTATTTGTTTTGACCTGCCAGACTTTAGCCCTCATTTAAGAAAAGTTTGACATGTAGATTGCAGCATCATGCCATGAGCAACTTGAGCAGTTGCACATTTTTAGACTGTCAGAAAATACTGCCGTTGGGAATATACACAGCTTTGGCAATGAAGTTCTGTCGTGTAGAGATTTTTCTTCTTTATTATGTCAAGGCTCCCTGTAGTTATAAGCTCTGTTCCAAACTTGGGTCCATTTACAATTTAACTTTCATTTGTGAATGAAAATCAGGTAGAACAGATGTATTTTTTTTTTCTCTTTACGTGTGTAGACAAAAAAAGGAAAACTTTTTCCACTGAATTTATTTTTCTTGAGGGGGGGAAATGAATTGTACTCAAGGTAGAAAATGTGGAAGTGGAGGAAAGTGAGTATTAAGAGGTTAATTCAGTTGGCTATTAGGAACTGAATTGTTTCAACATGGGAGTGATGAACAGGTTGTTGAATAAAGTTTGAGCATACCCTTTTAAAGTGACTTTTAGTTTGCAAAGTTGTTTAGACAAGCCTATCTGCCTGCATTTATGAAATCTGGTATTTTGAGCCTATGATTGCTTAATAGAACTATCTTGTTCAAAGAACTGCTGAAGATTTTGTGTTTGTTTTCTGCGATGGTCCTTAAAGTGGCAAAAATAATACATTATCTTCTAAGTAGACTCGCCAAGTAGTACAGGCTTTTACAGTATGCGTGCTAATGCCTCTTTCATTGTCTGAAGATTTTTTTTTTTGTATTTATCTAGATGACTCTCCTTAAAATATTGCTTTGAAATGTGTCCCCTTTTTCTTCCCTACAGATTTGAGTTCTGTGAGCCTGCCTTTGTGGTTGGTAATTGTTTGGAAATAGCCTCAGACAGTCATCAGTATGACCGGATTTACTGTGGAGCTGGAGTCCAGAAAGACCATGAAAACTACATGAAAATTTTACTGAAAGTTGGAGGCATTTTAGTAATGCCTATAGAAGATCAGGTGACTTAGTGACAATTTCCCCTTCCTATCTTTTAGTATGTTTATATAATTTGGGAATACGTTTCCATGCATGTTTGACTAAGGTAATGTTTTACTAATGACGTCTTGGTTCAGTGTATTGCTGCAGCTATGTAAATATTGGCTTTTTTAATGAGCTTCTGTACTTTCAAGTTGTGCAAAAGCATAAATATCCACAGTCCATCAAAGTTTGTGACAAAACTAGTATTTCATACCAGTCCCAAAACTGTTCTAAAATTCTTTCCCCAAAACACATTTTTCTGTCTATACTTCAGAAATACTTCTTCAAAAAAAAAAGGAGAGAGAGAGAGATTTGTATTGGAGAAATCACTGAACTTAGTGGGAAATGAGGGAAAAAAATACTTTCAGCAGCTTTCAGTATTGCTCTTGTATGTCAGAATTAAACATTTTCTGGACAGGTGTATTATTCTAATAATACTTTGCACTTCTATCACTTTTGATGCGTAGAACTCGAGGCTTTACAAAAGTAAGTATTATTCTCCCTGTTTTGCTAATAGGGCAATTAGAGAAAAAAAAAAGGCTATGGTATTGAAGCAGATGTCCTTTAAGAATGCAAATATCTTCCAGAACATTTTGATTAAAATATTAATTATTTTCATAAAATAAAAAAATTGATGTTTATATCTACTTTCTCAAAGTACCAAATTTCTCTTAAATATAATCTGCATCATCCAATTACATTCAGTTTCTTAAATATTATTGTTTTCAGTATTTAGCCAACTGAGATATTGCCATTTGAAATTAATGGCATTCAACTTAAAAGTAGCAAATATTTGAAAGCAAAATTAACACTAAATATTTCTGTCATATCTGCACCTGTTTGGGGTGCTGGGCCATGTGAAGTTAGGAGGGATTGACAGAAGTGTTTCTTTAGCATGGAAAGCAACAGGTTAAGGGAAGATCTAGTTACTGACTTTTTATTATGTAAAGGGATGGGCAGATTACTGAGTAGACAGGAGTCAAATTCTCCTTGCAGATGCACAGCAAAAAGAAAAGGTTACAAATAGCAGCAAGGGATGTTCTGCCTGGTCGTAAGAAATAATCAGCCACAGAGAGTGGCTGAATGTTAGAGCAGATTGTCCAGAGGTTGTGAAATAATCCGTGCTTGGCAATTTTCAAAACTTAATTGGACAAAGTCTCCGAGTCGTGTGGTTTAACTTTGGATTTAGCTATGTTCAAGTGAGAATTTAGACTACAGAGTTTGGTTCCAACCTAAAGTGTTCTAAAAACCTTTTGGAAAACATGAAAAAAGCTACCTTGGTCCTTTATTTTAAATTGTATCTGTGCCCATTGTCAAAGAGGGAAAGTCCTGTTCGTTACTGTCTCTTTCTGTTCACAAGTCAGCCTTTTTAAGTAAATTTTGAAGCATATGGAAATAGTTATATATTTAAACAACAATCCATCTGAATGTTGAATATAAAGCATTAATCACACTTTCCTGTTTTTGTTTGTTTGTTTTGCAGCTAACACAAATCTTGAGAACAGGACAGAACACGTGGGAAAGTAAAAATATCCTTGCTGTTTCATTTGCTCCGCTCGTGCAACCCAACAGAAATGACAATGGCAAACATGACACCGTGGGACTGCGTAAGTGTCACTTGGGGCATCTCCAGCAGGGTCTTCCAGTGCCTGCTGGTGCTTCTCTGGAAGCAGAGAGAGGGATACGCTACGCAGGCATGAAACACAACTGAACGAGCTTAGAATAGCCATATAGCTGACTGATAGGTCCTGTGCTTCAGGCTCATGTTCTGTATTGCTATACAATTAATATACTGAATTCAAGTGATGCCTTGTTTCCAGCTTCTCTTTCCAGTTTTTGTTCCCTTGAGGTTCAGCTTCTTGCTTCAGCTAATAAGGCACAGGAGATTTGTTCAGCTCATACTAGGTGTGTCAGAAGTGCTCACTTCCTGACTGTCTCCAGGAACTTTAGGGAAAAATATTTTTCTTTCCTCTGAGATGGAAGGAGCTGGTCTAAACTGTAGCTGTAGCATGTTAACAACCGAGTGTGTTTATCTGTCTGCAATTGATACAGTCATGCTGAGCTGTTTGGGGGTTTGCTCTGTAGTTGCAGTAGCCTGGATTGGGTTAGTAAGGGATAGAATGTCTCTGAAAATGCATCGGTTGCCAAGATGATAAATTATCCTGTTAAAGATCAAAACAAGGAGCAGAGATGAGATCGTCTGCCTGGACGGCTAGGGGTAGGAATAGAATAATGTCTGTGGTTTTGGTAACCTCTAAGTTAGAAAGTGGTAGTTTTTCTTGTTCTGCTTTAGGCGGCAGCTCAGTGGGAACAAATACCTGTCCTCTTCATGGTTTTACTCCCTCTGTGTGCACTTCTAAAATGCAAAATGGATATAAACACATCAAGAGTCTCTGGTCATAGAATCATAGAATGTCCAAGGTTGGAAGGGACCTGAGAGGTCATCGAGTCCAACCCCCCTGCTCACACAGGGTCACCTAGAGCACGTGGCACAGGGCTGCATCCAAGTGGGTTTTAAAGATCTCCCAAGAAGGAGGCTCCACAACCTCTCTGGGCAGCCTGTTCCAGGGCTTTGTCACCCTCACAGTGAAGAAATGCTTCCTTAAGTTCCCGTGGAACTTCCGATGCTTCAGTTTGAAGCCATTTCCTCTAGTCCTATCACTGTCCACCACTGAAAAGAGGCCAGCCCCCTCCTCCTCCCTCCCTCCCTTGAGGTATTTATAGACGCTGATCAGGTCCCCCCTCAGCCTTCTCTTCTCCAGGCTGAACAGGCCCAGCTCTCTGAGCCTTTGCTCATAGGGCAGATGTTCCAGGCCCCTGATCATCCTGGTAGCCCTGCGCTGGACTCTCTCCAGCAGCTCCACATCCCGCTTGTACTGGGGAGCCCAGAACTGGACGCAGTACTCCAGATGTGGCCTCACCAGGGCTGAGTAGAGGGGGATGATCACTTCCCTCGACCTGCTGGAGACGCTCTTCTTAATGCACCCCAGGATCCCGTTGGCCTTCTTGGCCACCAGGGCACCCTGCTGCCTCATGGTCAACTTGTCGTCCACCACGACACCCAGGTCCCTCTCTGCAGGGCTGCTCTCCAGCAGGTCCACCCCTAATCTGTACTGGTGTCCAGGGTTATTCCTCCCCAAGTGCAGGACCCTGCACTTGCCCTTGTTGAACTTCATGAGGTTTCTCAACACGCAGTCCTCCAGTCTGTCCAGGTCCCTCTGGATGGCAGCACAGCCCTCGGTCATATTGGGTTGCAAGCAGGTTGAACCTGGCTTTCAGTGAATATATGTAACCTCACAAAAGAATGTTGCTTTATTATAGTTTCACTTGCTTTTTTGTTTGAAGTATAGTTTATCTTTTACCTTAAGTAATCAGTTATTTGCAAAAATAATTAATTCTGTAGCTTTAATGCTTTTTTGAAATCTTAAAAGCAGTTTTCTTAAAACTGACTTTTTCAATACACAAGCACTTTTTTGTTCTTTGTAGACCTGTTCCATAATAGATAGGATGTATAGGCTAACGGTGAAATGTAAAAATGACTTACCAAATAGTGTCGGTTCTTACTGTGATTCTGTACAGTTCAATGCTGTGAAACACACAGGAAGTTTTTTAGGTGACTCTTACTAGTCCTGAAACTTCACAGTACAGATGAAACCCGTGCAGAGCAGTAACTCTCAGTGCTGAATTTTAGTACAATAAACCTGTGTCTTGTATGCAATGAAACAAAATTTTTTAAAACAAACCCTTTAGAAAGAAGGGGGCGAATACCACACAAGTACACTACTATTTAAAATCTTCGGGGAAATGAAGTCATGCTGTAAAATGAAATCGCTCAGGCTGGCTTAGCTTTTCTGTGAATTAAAGTGACCTTGAAGCTCAAAAATTAATTTTAGACAATTTCTCTTGCATAGTACAATCCATAGCTCTGAAATATCTCAAATGTCCTGACTAGTCTAGTAAATGTTGCCGTCTTGTGAACATTAAGCCAGAAATTGCATTTGACATTGCTGATGTAAACATGAAGTCTGTGCCTTTCAATTGACAATTTTAAAAGCAGATTGAATACCTTCTGACATACGTGTAATGTATATTTACAATAGTTGTTACATATATTTTAAGCCAGTACATGTCAGCCAGTCATTCTCAAAGTAGACTCTTTTTATGGAAGGCTGTAGAGGTGCTACCAGAGGATCATTTTACAATTTACAAAAATTGCATATTCCTGTTTTTGAGTACTTTATTAAACTAAAATGTTTCTTTCAATATAGGATAATGTTATATCATCCCAAGGTCCCCTTACTGGGATGGAGGGGGGAGGAGCAGTGAGTTCTTGGTTTAAATCACTTTGCAATTGTTGATTACAGAATAGTCACTGTTCTTGAATATTTTTTATTGATTAGGACAAGTGTCCAAAACTCAAATTTCTACCTTTTCAAGTGAGAAGAGGTCCTATCTGTAATACTGCTAATATTAGTTAGCTCTTTATTAATAAATAATTAGTATCAAAGATATACTATATATATATATATATATATATAAAGTCTGAAGACTTTTTATGAAGCTTTTTGGAACTTTGTAAATTCTAGCTTTTGATTAAAGGTGTTACTATAATCATACTGCTGTGCAACTTCCCTTAGTTGCATTCATATCTGAAGAACTGGTGAATGGATATTTTCTAACTATGTGGACTTTGAAGACATTCCTTTGTCTTGAAACCTTTTAAACAATTAGGATATTTGATTGATTGATCAAATAGTGGTTGATTAACGAAGCAAACAGTGTTTCTCCCTACAGAATAAATGTCTGCCAGTTCATTTAACCTCTCAACATCTTATAGTTAGTGCTTGTATATACATTGGTTGACACGGTCTGTGATTGTGAATACTGTTAAAAATAATCAGATGGCTTTTTTTGTAGCTTTAGGTTTGTTTATAAGCCAGTGATGTTTCAAATTTTTCCCGTTAGTGTTAACTGAAATCAATGTTGCTAGAACCGGGATATCTCAATCATAAATATCCTTTGTCTTAAGTCTGAGTAGCTAGAATGCAACTGAAGTTGGTGTATGAAACAAAAGGTTGAGTTAGAAATATATCTAATTATCTTTGGTAGTTGCATGAATTTCTTGCTGCTTTTTATAGGAAAGAAAACAACAATCAAGAGTAGCATAGGCTGCAGGGTTGTCTCTTTTTTTCTTATCTAGTGCAAGTCATGCAACAGCCTAGCGAGTCTTAAATCCTCAGCTGTCTGTCATTAGACAATGTGGCCTTTTGCTTGTTGCTACTCTCTTTTTCTTAGGGCCTCAGCAGTTGTTTTTCACTTTCTGCTGCAAAGTTATGGATGACTTTGCCTGCCTGGGCAGCTGCCAGGTTGGCATGGCCCTGCCTTGGCAGTTGGGGCCAGCAGGAGAGGCACCTGTGCAGAGCAGCGTGACACAGGGAGCGAATTCTTCCCCAGCTGCAGCCTTGGAACAGTGCCAGAGGCCGGTGTCAAAGCTTTCCAGATGTTGACAGGTGTTACTTGGTGTATGCTTGCCTAAACACTTTAAATTTTCCCATGTTTTCAACTTCTATTTCTTTATCTGTCAAAAGGCACCATTTCTAGGACCCTACTTTCTAGAAAAGATTACTGATATTCCAGAAGTCATCGTCAGCTCAAATTTGAGTTCTTAAGTATCTCTGCTAATAAGCTTTTGGAAAAGAAGTCCTTCAGTAACAAATATTCTGCAAGGTTTTTCAGGAGCTCTCTTATTTCCTCTTGTTGTATTTTTTGTATGTACTGCGTGCTGAAATTTCAATTGCTCTTAAACATTAGACCTAATGTTTGCAACTAGTTTTTTGTTAGCGGGGAATTCCACTTGGAAGTGGAATATAATTCGTTTTCTCTTTCATTTTAGCTCCGTGTGCTGTTAGAAATCTCCAGGACCTAGCTAGGATCTATATCAGACGCACCCTTAGAAACTTCATAAATGAGGAAATGAAAACCAAGGGTATTACTCAGAAGGCTCCTCCAAAACGGAAACGCAGGAGATGTCGTAGACGGAGGATTAACACCTATGTATTTGTTGGAAATCAGCTCATTCCTCAGCCTCTAGACAGCGAAGAAGATGAAAAGATGGAAGATGACAACAAAGAGGAAGAGGATAAAGATCACAGTGAGGCCTTGAAGCCAGAGGAGCCTCCTCGAAATCTGCTGAGAGAGAAAATTATGAGTCTACCATTACCTGAATCTTTAAAAGCATACTTGACCTATTACAGAGAGAAATAACTTGTTTTAAGTAGAAATAATGCCTACTGATAGTTCCTTTATTCTTGAAAATGTAGCATTTATTAGGAAATAGATGGACAAATTATTATTAGTCTTTCATCAAGACCGAAGTACAGTGATAAATTGTAACTTATCTCTATCTTGTCTTTGCTACAAGGTAGACTTGCATTCAGCAGTAGAATCCCTTTTTAAAAATCTATTTTTCTTTAAATTTTGAAAATGCTGTTTTAACTCTGATAGAAATATATATTCCATTATTCAGCACTAATCAATATTTTGCATGGTAAGTCTTTTTTGATCCCGGAGAGATTTGTATTGATAAAAGGGTGAGTGAAATTTTATATATGCTAAATAATTGTTAAACATGTGCATCTGACTTGAGCAGTTTGTCTGTATTTATTCTTAAGGGAACACTTTAAACATGCAGACGCTTATCTTCAGATGTCAGAATCAAAACCCCCTTCAAAGTTTATTTTAGTACGGCTTTGTTGCAATCATTATTACTATGTTGGTATAGGTGTATTCCAACGACACAAGTGCAATAATTGTGTACAAACACTGAATGAGCTGGCTTTAACGAAAACAAATAGTTTCGACATGTCACACGGTCCCGCTACTTCTGCATTTACCTTTTGCCAAAAGATTTTGAGAAAAGTAACAGCTTCTTTCAGAGCCTTAAGAAACATCGTATTGAATATAAAATAAAGCAATGTTTACTTCAGCGCTGCTTATTTAGCTCCATTGTACACTTTCAGTATTTCGATTTAGAGGCACTTCCTCATTTCCAGGAAGTTTAGGATAGTACATCTTGTTTATTTCTAAAGCTCACAGCATTGAGACACAACGTTTGGTAATAAAGATTGTAATTTAGATTTCAATCATCTATTTACTGCTTTTAAGTAGAGATAGAATTTAGGTAACGTTTAGTTTGTATTGCTTATTGGGATAGCTATAACAGTAGAAGTTAGGATTATTTCAGCAAATGCACTTTAGTAAGTGGATTTTATACTTAACGTGCATCTCCAAGACGATAGATTTGTGCTGACCTGCATTTTATTTTTGTTTTGTTTCTGAACATGGCTCTTAGCGCAAAATGTATTTATAAAATCATATTCATCTTTTGGAAACTGAAGAGTAGCGGTGCAACATTGGGGGCTCGCAAGAGTGCTGATTTAAATACTTTTATCATTTTCCTCTGTTTTGTGAAGTTACTTGCAGTTCTTTTTAGCTTTGTGTTGCTTTTTGCTATCTTCTATTTCTTCATTTTCTGTTGTAAAAACCACGAGGGAAATTGTGTTTATTAAGATATGCATTGGAAGCCATGGTCAGTAACATCATCTGTCTGTTGGACCCAGTGGAAAACATCTCCTTTGAAAAAACATCCTGCACAATACACTTACAATATTGATACAATTTTTCCTAGTATAGTAATGAACCAGTATCAAACAGTAATTAAAACATAAATCATTTTTCTTCATCAGTTAAATTTCCCAGTCCAGATACTTACAAGCAGGCAATGTACATGTGGTGTGACAGCTCAGTAGTCATTTAAAATGTGTTCATTTTGTTACATTTGAGAAGAAAAATAGTACATAACCCCATTCATACTACTTATACATAATATCCCCATATGCATAAATACTGACTCTCCAGTGTGCATTTCATGCTATAGTCAGTTTTGTTTAATGTTTAAATGGAACTTCATGAAGGCCTGTTGTACCAGCATGTGGAGTTACTTTCCGCAATATATTTACAGTGTAAGTAAACAAACTATTTGAAGTATTCTGACTTTATTTTAAAAGCAGGAAAAATTAATTAAAAAGTTTTCCAAAATAATGGTACTAATAAAATAATTGTGATGCTTCAAGTGTAGGAACTGAACTTTTTTTAATGGATTATTTTAGATGGAGTTTAAATGAATTGAAGTTTGAAATGTTTTGTCTCTCTCCTTTCTTGGAATCTACATCCATAAGTTCAAGAATGAGATTACTAAATATTACTTATATACTTTAAAGACTTTATACAGGATGCTTTTGGAGAATAACTTTCTGCATTTTCTCACTCCTGTGTACTTGGAAGAATGGACAACAGATGACTTGTCATGATTATTCAGTATGTATTTTTTGAGTCACTGAAAGAATTTGTTTTGTTTTATATGTGGATTTATTTTACACTCTTGAATTTATATTTACATAAAGAAAATTTAGAAATGCAGGTAGAAATGAATTAAAACTTAATTTTTGCCATCTCAGTTGATGATGGGGACGTTGTTGCAATAAAATGGATTTTTGGTGGTTTCTGCTTGCTTTAATTTGTGTTTCCGTATTAGTATTTTCTCTTCCTTGGAATTTCATTTTTCAGTTTGTTCATAGTTAGTTCAATAGCGTCTTAATAAATGCTATTATTGAATCTCAGAAATAAAGACAAACAGTAATATAACTTCTTTCTCAAATTTGAATTTGTGCAAAAGCATGAAAAGATTAATATTGACCCAGGGAAACTACTTAGAGCCCAAATCTGTGTTTCAAATACTGATGTGAACTTTTAGTTTCTTTTCCATAGCCTTTTTTTAAATGTTTTTTAATGGTCTTTAAGCTACATTCAAGAAAAAGAAAAATCACTGTTTTTCTAAGTACTGTTTTGAATTGCAGTTTTAACCTGAAGAAACATGATCTGTGTTAATTAAGATTTTGATGCAAGGAAAACAAAGATGAGCAAGTAAGTCACTTTCCGTGAAACTCTCTCTTAATGAGGGCATACTTAGCAGTTAGGGATAGAAGAAAAATAAAATGCAGATAAGCTAAGCCAACTCTAATTCTATAATGGTACTCAATATAAGCAAGAAGGTGATGAAATGGAGTTTTTATTTCTTTTATTCTGTGTGCCAGAGGATGACTCAAGACCAGTGCAATCTATCACATGGGAATCAAGTTATGAACATCTTGGTTCAGCTAAGCACAGGCTATGTGGTGTGTTGACTCCTTAGTCCGTATCCTTTTCATAGAGGAAAAAGAAAAGCATATATTTATGCAGGTGCAACTTTTTCTGTAAACATGCTGCTTTTAATACATCATTTTGAAATATCATTTTGAAAACAACATGGAATTTAATTAAGTATTTTGGAAAGCTGCACTAACATGCACTGCATTCTTCTCAGAGGTCTTCAGAGCACGATATCTTGACAATGTCTTTCTCATGTGTGAGGACCTTCTCTAAACTTGTTTTGAAAAGACCATTGCACCTATTAGTCCAATAAAGTCTGTCTATTCCTTCATCTCCTTTCAGCAGAATGTGTGTGTAGGTAAGGGCATATTTGTCTCTCTGTCAATCCACTGCAGCAGACTTGAAGAGTTTATATAGGACTTTTGTCAGTTGTTTCAGTGCTGGAGAGAAGTAGCAGCGCCTCATGCAACACTGATGTGTTTTCTGTCCCTCATCCTACCTGAATGAACAATCACTCTAAGGATGATCATAGGGCAGAATAAAAGGGCACAGAAAGCAGCAAAAGTCTGTCAGTCACTGTTAAATGTTTTTTATTTGATAAGAGCATTCCTTTGCTGTCTTGCTAGCCTCTTACCCCTAAGGGGAAAAAATCATCAGGGTTTTCTGGTTTAGTATGAAGACAGTTTTGTATTTTACTGCTGTTTGTAGTCTTTGACTCCCCTACTTCAAACAGTTTTAGTATACAAGGATGTGTACTCTAAACTGAGTTTTTGTAAATTGAGTTTTTTAAACGAGAATTGTAACCTATAGATTGAGAAATGGTCCTTGCAGACAATAGGCTGGTGGTTTTCTTTGCTGCTTGTGCCCTTTGACTGCCTCTTTCTTTCAAAGACCTCCTTTGAGCTCTTGCACCAGTATATTCTGTTAGAACAGGTTTCTGTGTGCTTTTGATTTTCACCTGAAGGTCTCATGTCTTCTGTTAGTGACAGGTTGGATCTTTCTGAAAATCTGAACCTTTAAATAAGGAAACATAACAATGAAGTCTGAAATCCACCAACATATTTTGAGAAGTAGGAGTCTAAAGTAGGGTTTCTAAACTTATCCAAAGTTTCTAAAGAAAATGATGAATATTGACATATTGACAAACCCTCTGACCTATTTTTTTTCTTTTTTTTTTTTTTTTCTTTTCTTGACAAAAAAGCAGCATACCCTTGTATTCCATAAAGTAAAGCCAAGCATTTGCTGTTAGTATAATGGAAATCTTAATGTAATTGAAGAACTGTTAATCTACATCTAGTTGTTTCAGGAAAGGAAAATTTAGTACAGTTAGGCTACTTAAGTGGAAAAAAAAAATGCAACATAAAATTGTAATGCAGATGGATGCATTAATTTTATTGTTTGTCTTGCAGCCCTTTGCTTTCCTGAGTCATTAATTAAAATTAAAAGTCATTAAAAGTCATTAATTTTACGCTGCTGGAGAGGTTATGACTGTAAATTGCCTCTGGACTCCTTCAGAGGGATGAATATTTTGGCGATGTTTTTGGTGTCTTCCTGTCTCAGAAACTGCACGGAGTTGTTTGCAGGTGCTTCCTACCATCCTCTTAGGCCTTTTTCTTTCTTCATTATTCTAGGGCTCTGTTGCATCTGAATTTACTTTGTATGTATGCATTTACTTATGTTAGATTTGTTTGTTCTGTGACTGCTAAAACAAGCCCTAGTGCTAAGCTTGCTAGCTCTGTGTTTGGTTGTGTCTTTATTATTTTTATTATTATTTTTGGAACTGACAGCAGGTGAGTTATAGCTGTGGGTCCCAGAGCCAAGCCCCACACCCACTGTGCTGCCTGTTCAGGCCTGTTTTTTTGGTATGCTATCACATCATAAATAATCATAAATGCCTCCTTCTATCTGGAATATCTGCTATCTAGATGTAACTATTGTTGCACGCACAGATAAACAAGATTAACTATAGACACTCATTAGTTAGAGAAATAGTTGTCACTCATCAACTTGTCAGAATAAAGGAAAGATTTGGCAGGGATTTTTTGACTCCTGCCACTGTTTTCCTAGTGGATTGTCAATATGCTTACCTCCTCAGGCTGAAAGCAGGTCTTGCCCAGGGAATGTTTTAACCATTCCACTGTCTGTTTTCTATAGATTTTGTTACTTAAGTCAGTTTTTTTGCTTGTTTTTAGGATGAAATTATTCTTTTTGTATCTTCACTTAGTGAAGGGGAATTTGTGTTTGGTGCTATTTGCTCTAAATCTAAAATTCTGCATTGATTTTCAGTAGTCTGTTGGTGATTGTTTGGATCTACATCCAACAAAACAGTCAGAATTTATACTATTTCCTTGCTACAGTTTGTCTTCTTTCAAAATATAGGTGAGATTTTTTTTCCCCTATTAAAAATAAAAGTTATACATCCCTAAAAACACGTTCTAAGCTTGAAGATGAATTCTAACAAAAGTGCTGTGCATAATAAAGTACACCAAGAGAGGGCAGTATTGCCTTGCAGAATAGAATGTAGAGCTTATATGCTGACACAACCAGGTAGAGGTGATAACATTTTTTGAAGAAGCATCCACGTTAAGGGTAACATGGTGAAATATTTCATTGCTAAGTCGCTCGGTGTACACACATTCACCTGCGGGAACTGGACATGGAGCATGTATAAAGGCAAGGATATGTCAGGAGTGACACCATAGACAAGCGTGTCCGACTCATGCAGATGGGTGTAACTAGCTGCACTGGCACGTTGCTGTTGTGCCTTGCTGTGGAGGACTGTGCGTGTGACAGCATGCTTAAATGTTATGCTGTGCACAGTGGGAAAACCTGGCCACGGCCTGGGAGTGTTTTCCAGGGAAAGAGGTGCCCCTGAGGGCAAACACCCTGGAGCAACGTTTTCCTTCCGCAACTGGCTGTCAAGTCTCAGTGTTTGCAGCACTAGCCCAACCTGCCAAAACCCCAAGCTATGCAAAAGGGGCAGTTTTGCAGTCCAGAGAGCTTATGGTTTCTGGCAATTACTATTTACTTTTGAAAACAGCGAAAGTATGAGGAAGCAACTAAAAAAAGCTAGTGTCTTATTTAATGCATGAGACGTGCAGATCCAAGGAACTATTGCCACAGAATGAACTCAGCTTGCTGGTGATGCTAGTGCTGTGATGAGTGCTGGCAACAGTCTTCTACACCTATGAATACTAAAAGATGAAAGACTAGAATGAGATTTTACAGGACGTCTCTTAAGAGATGGGCACTTGGCAGGATTTTTAACTCAGATTTTAGTACCACTAAATAAATGCACCAGAATTTGTACAAGCTGAGGGCTTCAAAAGGAGACAATTAGAAACATCTCCATAGGGAACCTTCTATGGAGACATCTTAAGTGTCTGCACTCAGTGACTTGATTTCCAGTAACCAGGATTTGGGATTTTCTTTAAACCTTACTGAATCTTAACTAAGGGATTTTGTTATGAGTATTAAAAAGATAAAGGTCTTATTTCTGGTTTATGATAATTCAGCAGCCAATGAAAATCAAGTTGTGAGCATGAAATTTGTGAAAACACCATGGGCAGATAGGTAATTGGCTCATACTGAAATAGAAAGAGAATTGGAAATTTTACCCATCAAGATAGGGTAGGCCTTCCCATTAGCCAATGACATTACATATATGTATTATTAGGGAAAGAACCACCTTCTCCAAATTCCTGGCTATCTTGGCCATTGGGGATGGTCTTCTTTCCATTTGTTGCTAAATATCAAATTAATCTTTGCAAAAATAGGTGAGAGCAGAAAGTGAATTAAAACTTTTGTGACTTCAGTTTTCTTTCAATATATCCTTAAATTACATTGTTAGTGTGTCTTCATTTTTAAACATTTATGTAAATGTTTGGTAAATTCCTTTTAATGAAATTTCATCTCTATCAACCTATTAGTTTTCCTTTTAATTCTAAGACAGGAGAAAAGATCTCAAACTTACATGTCAAAAAAATCTCCTTCTGGAGAGAGACTTTTTAAGCCTTTGAGAATTAAGATAAAGCTAATGCCACATCAGCATGGTTCAAGCTATGCATCAGTAACTACAGATTGGCCTAGCTGAAAGGATCTGATAAGACAGATATTAAGAGTTGTGGTATGTTTCCTGATTTTTATTTGAAAATGGGTAGAGAAAAAAGGCACCTAGTTAGTATGTGCATGTTAAAATCTGTTTCATGAAGTC